AACTTTTCCAACCATCACCTTGTCCATTATATCCTAATAAACTCTATCATATTCCTCATCACAGTCTAATTACCTCTATCATACCTAAGCCAGTTTATGCAAATGCAATGCATGCTAGCTCTAAAACACTCAAGTCTGTTCACAAATAATTTCAAACTCTTGTAAGATTGAGAACACCTTCTGATCAGTAATATAATGTCTGTTCTTTAAGTGTTTCTGTTCAACACCCGAATGCACCAAAAAGATGTTGAATCCACAATATTCTAAGCATATACTCTGGAAAGAAAAACAAAAATTGACAAAGAATGCATTTATTCAGAGAGAGAGAGAGAGAGAGAGAGAGAGAGAGAACTAACAAGATTATCATTCAGAATAGTGTATATGTTAAAATCCATTAGCCCGTTAACAAATTGATGGCTATAATTACTTAAGAAATAACACCATTCTGTTCTTTCCCTATATCAAAAATAAATGTTCTAATACTTCTAACAAAAAAGTTCCAGTTCATCAACAGTGAATGTCAGATATCATACCTTTCATGTCCTACACAATAATAATCAAAAGCTCAGAAGATTACAAGTGATGATTACATAAATCCCAGTATGGTACATCATGCCACAGGACTAAATTTCAAATCCGATGTCAAAGTAATCAAGCATACCTCCAACTACAAACAAGGTTCCGGTGATCCAAAAGTTAGCATACATCCATAAAATTAGAATAGCAAAAAGTCCTACTATAAAAAGCCCAGGAGTGTAACCCAGGTACTTAACTGCAGCACCAGCAGCTCCCTGCAAAATAAAACCTGACTGTTAGGGGCATTGCAGATATGATGCTCTCTTTGATAAGATTGGTCCTGACCTATTTATAAAAATGAATCTTTGCATTTCTAACTAATTCCAAGTTGTTATTTACTCATATAAGAACTAAATTCTCCATTTGGATTGAGAAAAGGAAAGAAAGGAAAGGATGGGTTGCCTTTTCTCAAAGAAAAAGTTCTTGAAGTTCGTAAAGGAGTTCAAAGTTTCTTAACTTATAGCTCTGACACCCTAGTAAGAATTATGCGTGTATATTTTATTGAATATCATAACCTGATGTATACAAGTTCTTGAAAATAAAAAAGGAGACCGACAGTTAATTACATAGGATATATTTACCAATATATCCTTTAACCTAATTTAACTCTAGGTAATTACATATAAAGTACATTCTCTAACAAAACATGCAACAAAAAAATAAAAGTAAACAATATAAAAGGAAAGCAGTGTTGGGAGCGTACTTCAAGCAAATATACAACAAGCAAAGAAATTGTCAAACCAAAAAAAAGAGCAAAATAAGATATGCTACTTCTAGTGACAACATTGTCCTATATTGACCCACATGATTAATATAAAATGGGAAAAAATTACTTTTTTGAAAGGTCTTCTCAACTATCACCTTGATTCTAGTGAATATAGTTTTAAACTCTATGTTCTATGCATGTCCCAAATTGGATTTTCAATAATTAAACGTTAATGACAAGGTAATATTCTAATGTTAGACATAAGAGACTATTTCTTTAGTGAAATAATAATTTAAAAATTCTCAAATTTACAAATCTTTCTCATCTTCCCCAAAGTCCCTAAGCCCTAAAAACTCTCTTCCTTGTCTAAAAATCTAAAAATCTTTATCCCTTTCATATTTCTTTCTCTGAGTCAGCATTTTCCTTTTCATATTTGTTCATACCTCACCCTCAACTCTAGCATCACTGCTCAGTTCATTAGCCCCTCTTTTCTTTTTGGTTTTTGTATGTTTTTAGATTAAAAAAGAGATGAAGATCTCACAGGAAGAGGGAGGAAGATTAGGAATTTTCATAAAACAAGAGACACATTAAACTTTGTGAATATTAAGAGAGCAATTATTACTATAACTACAGAGGGAATAAATTTTGCATTTCTTCCATTCTTGAATAACGGATCACTTGTAGGAATGACATAATGCTAATCCATGTTCCACATGGCAAAGGAAACTCTGACAAGGAATGAAAATGAAAAGAAAATGTAGGCAAAAATGAAATTGATTCGTCATGTTAGAGAAGGAAAAGATCATATGGACTATAGTAGCATCGCTTGATTCATGTGCAACATTTATTTATTTATTCACTTTAATAGTAACATTTCATTGCTAAAAGAAAATCCTATCTAGGACATGCATAAAACACATAATTCAAATTGTTTTAATTAAAATTATAAGTGCTAAATGTGATAATCCAAAATACATAATGGCTTTTTTAACTTTCTCTATAAAAATTTATTAAGCCATTTGCTGGATATACAAAAACATGTTGCTTGGCCTTGAAACACAGGTTTCCAAGCTTGATCTTGCAAGTCAAGTTGAGCACTATCTTTAGCCATTTCACAAGCATGAAGTAGAGAATCCCTCATGAGCTTAGGATATCGATTCAGAGGCTTTTCCGCAAATGGTTCTAAAGTTAAAAATGTTTTCCAAGAGACTTGGATGAAAAATCTGTTCAAGATTCCATCAAGTCCACAAACTCTTCCTTACTGTTCCTTCGGAATATTTAAGCTATAAGTTCTTTTGGAGATTGTTTTAATAGTCTCAAGGTTATTTTCCTCCTGTCCAATTGGGATTTCCCCTTTGTTAAGTGGTCTCCTACTTTGAATAACATACACCATAAGAAAAGGGTCCCGAAAGACAGCTACTTCCACAAACAGCTCAAGAACCATGATACATTTTAGTATCAGAAAAGAGATGCAGATTTAACACCATTGGAAAACACATCAATCCAAAAGATTTTATCATGATACAATCGAGTATACAATTGAATAGCACTATAATTTATTTTTAGGGGAAGAAGTGCAAATTTGTTTTCTTTATCTAGCCCGGTAGGAAAAGAGCAGTTGAAGAGCAACTAATGAAACATAGAGAACTACCAAGATCAGGTCGAACAAAATTCAGTCAGAGCACTAAAGAAAAATGAAAGATTCAAAATAAGAAGAATGATTTACCATACTGAGGAGTACATAAACCAAGCAAGAAATAGAAGTCAGACTAAGAAAGCAACTCCACATTATGACAAGCAACGAAGCCGAACCCAGTTTAATAGTTGACTGAAAACCCCGAAAAACGCAGTCTTTCCAGTAAATCAACAGCAACACCAAAAGCTTAAAGAGTCTCGCGCACCCACTACACACCATCGGCCAATGGCGCTCTGCAACCACTCCCATTTTCTCCCTAAAGCACCCCAGACCAGTTCGCACCCGCGAATACACGTGTTTCTGGGTTTGAAGCCATTTCCATCCCTGCTTGAACAGCCCTATGTCTTCCATCACTCTGATGACGCCACTGAAAACAGCTAAAACTACTACTCAAAATCGCATTGAACGATTTGCCAGATATGACTCAAAAACTGGATTTGGTAACGTAAACGCTATCGATAACCATCTGAGTTATGAACCCGAAACTCTGTAAGTCTCAAAGAACAAAATGTGAAATCAGCTAAGCTGTCCATATGAAAGAGAAAAACCCAAGAAGCGGGGCAGTTTAAAGAACCAACCTCATAGGTTTCTCACATATAAATTGCTAAGAAGAAGAAGAAGAGGATCCAGAAACTTTCATTTCATACCCGCAGAGTAACTATACATAATGACGCACAGTAACTATGGATCACGTTTATTCGTTCAACGCAAATTGCTTCCCATTTAAGTTTTCAAAAAAGTAGCTCTTCAAAAAGGCCCAAAATTGAAGTAAATCATTCCCCTTTGACACAAACTTCTTTGATTTCAAAAAGGGAAATGAAAGAAAAAAAGAAACAAAAAAAAAGAAGGGAAAAAAACAGAGCAATCTGAAGTTAACCCACCACTCGCTGCAACCCCTTTTAGATAACAGTAGATCCAAAGGCCTTAAAAAACCCAAAACAGACGGAGAAGAAGATGAATGATATAAATAAGGAAACACCGACAGATGAGGCTGAGGACGGAGGGCCCTTGTCATGAAAGTGAAAAAAGGAAGGAGATTTGTTAAATTTAATGGGATTGTAATCTTATCTTTGATTTCTTGTTATTGTAATGACAAGAGGAAAAAGCCCTAATAAGCTTTGAAAGGCAATTTCGCAGAGCACTGGTGAAAAAGAGAGAAGCTAAAAAGTGTTAAAAAAGTTGAAGTTAAAGAAGGAGAGAGAAGAAGCAGGGGACTCCTGTGGGTAGTTGCAGAGAGAGAAGGACTTGACAAACATCATTTACTCTGTCTTTGTGGATTAGGGTTGGAGGAGTTGTATATTAATATTTCTGTGGGACCCACCTCTTCCAAAATGAGAGAAGAAGGGGTGGGGGGGCGGCTATAATTACATACAACCGGTTCTATTGTAAAGCCTTTCTACTTTAATTAATCAGTGTATAATAAATAAATCACCGTGGGCAGAAATTTTTAGATGATTAAATGATTAAACTTAATTAGATTGTTTCTTAATAGGGAATTATCCCGTTAATGCAATTTTCAACCATTTGAAGTTATGATGACAAGGGAATTAAATAAAATTTGAATGAGTTAAATTAGAAGTTGAAAGAATGAATTAAAAAAAATTCTACTAGTTTTCCATACCAACATCTTCTATTTTTGTCTTTGATTTAACTTACCAAGTCTTTTTGAATTAGGGAATGTTCCTCTACCTACATTCACTTTTTCTCCCTATACCAATATATGTAACTTTATGAATTTTTATGATTCTTTTAGCAAACTTACAAAAAATGAAAACAATCGGGGCCGAATTCCCCTCATATCGTTAATTAGTCAATAAAATCGTGATCATTCGAGTTTTATTTTAAAATAGGGATATAACTCCTAAAATAGATTCGTTTAAATATTAAAGATGATTATGTCTGAGCACAGTAACTCATCTCTTACAAGAGGATTAAATCTCAAACCTAACAATCACTAGATTAATATTTTTATGAATTTTAATAATTATATTTTAAAAATTCAAATTCTTAAACTTTTTAATAAAACTCAATTATTTTTCAATACGAGATTAAATTAACGTAATTTTTATGATTTCAAATTATTTATGTTCTTATTAAAACCATATATCATATCATAAAAATTCATAATGTTTAAAACTGCACCAACTTGGAGTCATCAAACTAAAACTACGAGTTCACTGTACAACTCAGTTCAACAAAGTGTTAATTATTGGGATTTTTAAGAAATAAAGGAGAATTCTATTTATAATTTAATAATAATGCAAAGTTTAAAATTATTATAATTAAAAATGTGTAATTTGATTTGAGACAAACTAATATCCTACTTATAACCGATAATATTATTTTATTTTACTTGATTTCTAATGTATTTATGTTTCCGAGTTAAGTGGTTTAGAAATTTAGAAATTTAGAAATTTATTTCATTTTTATCCAAGGGGTTTTATCTCCAACCTATTCAGCTGTAATTCTTTTTTCTTTTTCTTTTTTAAAAATTTTAAAATTTCTCTACCAGGATGTCCTCTAAGTTGAGAAGAATTTCCACTGCTTAAAAATCTTTTAGGAGAGATTTGGAAATTGTCTCCTATCATTTTTTCCCAATAGTTTTTCAGCAGTGTAAAAAATCAGCTCTCACTCCATTGTGAAAGTTCAACATGCATTTAGAGTCATAACATTTGTTGGTGGAACAATTAGAGGTTCTAATGACTGAGCATACACCAATATATCCACTAACAAGATGCTCGAGAATTTGCCGGAACAAAGAGATCAAAACTGCAAAAACTCTCTTCACTAAACCAAAACCATTTACAAAGAGTTCTCCTGCCTAATTGACAGGGGTAAATGTTGAAAGGAACTCATACAATTTACACAAATAGGAAGCTCCAAAACCCAAAACTAGAGTAGAATAAAAATAAATTAGATGGACTTAATTCTTTTACCTTGCTGTTTAAAATGCTCCTATCATATATTGCAGTTGCAGAACTCATAGTTTGCCAGGCTGAGGTTCCTGAAGACGAATTGTCCAGGTTGTCTGACCCAGATGACATGTTATAGGAAGATGTAGTCTTTGTTTCAGCCGGTTTTTGTCCATTTCGCACTTTGAGGTCCATAAAATCAGATAGTAACCCTGGCTTTGTGATCTTTTCATCGTCAATGTCCTTCTTGCCTCTCAGCATCTTGACAACACTTGACATAGATGGTCGAAGTTTTGGAGAATCTTGGGTGCACAGAAGACCAATTTTTAGGAATCTACAAGCCTCTTCAGCATCAAAATCTCCATTCAAAGATGTGTCGACCAGCTCCACAAGCTCCTTTCTCTCGTACAGATCCCATGTCTGCAACAGAAAATCACGTGGGTGACTAAGCTTTTAGCTGGGAAAAAGCACTGTTACCACTCAATTAAAAGCCTCAATGAGAAGCTTTTTACTCCAACCTAAAATAAGGTCAACCATTCAGAACAACTCAAGATGCTGTCCATCATGGGACTAATACAACCTTCATAACTGCAAAGAAACATTCGTCTTTCATACTCAACTTGCAAGTCCTAACTTTGGGGACCTTTTCTCTTCACTTCCTAAATTATTAACTGATGCAGGTCTCAATTGTTTTAGAAAAGAAGACCTATATCATGTCCAATTATTCTACATGATTTGAGTTCTAGATTACCTGTTTTTGGTAGATTTCATAGGGAGCATAACTAAACAGATATTGCTAGAAAACAAAATACAAACTGGAAAGAAAACAAAACAGCAAGGAAATTGCAGGCCCATGCACTGAAACTCATGCTTCTTTCACTGCCAATGAAAGTTTGACCATATTTTGGGGGAAAAGTTCATTACCCGCTCAAGAAGATACTGCTGATCAATTGGCAACCGTGTATTTGTGTTACATCTTCCACTAACTATTTCCATAAGGAGGACCCCAAAACTGTAAATATCTGCTTTCCGTGTCAATTGGCCCCTGATTGCATACTCTGGAGCCAGATAACCTCTGTCAAAACAAATTCAGATACATCTGAGGATCACATCAATCTAACAGTTTAGAAAATTATGATGTAAAAACATGAAAGTTAATATCAACTTTCCTACACCTGACCCATTATTAATTTGAAAAAAGTTTTAACAGCTCAACAACAGAAACTTACAGAGGTTACAGGATCATAATAAATATAAGGGCAAATTACCATATTAGTTTTCGAAAAATGATACTTGTCACAATTTGCTCCCAAATATCTTTTTCGTTACAATTATTCCATGATGTTTTTTATTTGTTTCAAATTCTCAGTTTTCTCTCATTTTCTAACGGAAAAGTCTAAAAAAGTTAGACTGTCTGATTGTTTTAAAAACTAACTCAAAAAAATGACTTTATCTAATTAATTAACTTAATAACTTCATAAAAGTATTAGAAATATTTGTTATTATTATTAATTTATTTATTTAATCAATTAGTCAAATTCATTTTTTGAGCTATTTAAATATCCAAACATGACCTAATTATTTTAAGTTCTTTTTATTACAAAATAGAATGAAATTGAGTATTTGAAACAAATTAAAAACGTCAGAACCAAATTGTAGCTAGAAAAACATTAGGGATTAAATTATATATCAACCTTTGCTGACTAATTTAGTAATTAACCCTAAATATAATCTAGGACTGAACCAATATTACTTTATGACCATGACAAAGTTAAGACTTTATCAACTTAGCCCTGAAGACTCCTGAATTTGCATACAATTACTGTCATCTTCAGTACAGAATTACGCCCCACAAAAGCCACCAAAAAGTTGGCACATAACCAATTTATCCCACCGTCTACCACAAATAAGAAAACTGCAAATGCACAAAGTGCTGAAAATACATTTCTCAGAATTCTGTGATCTTGATGTAATTATGAATAACATATACTGTAAGAACCAATATAGCATGGATTTGGTAACTGACATGCCAAGAGAAAGCTAGCAAATGAATGCATATGTAGAACATGATAGCAGCAAGGATGAAACTTACATTGTTCCAGCCACTCGAGTGCTAACATGAGTCATGTCTGCTGGGATAAGCTTTGCAAGACCAAAATCTGAAATTTTGGCAGTTAAGTCTTTATCAAGCAGAATATTGCTTGCTTTTATGTCTCTATGAATAATGTGTGGCCGTACTTCCTCGTGAAGGAAGGCGAGCCCACATGCAACCCCAACACAAATCCTAGACCGAGTGCGCCAATCAAACTGTATACCACTGTGACCTGCACCTGCAAGTCAAAAGGTTCCAAATCATTCAACTTAATTTGTTTCACAGAATGCTATCTTATGTGCATGTATTTCGAATCCTGTAATACAATATACAAATATAGTGTTATTTCTATGTCTACATTAAATGTAAAATCATTTTTCAGAAATGTCGAAAAAATTTTTAGAAAAAAGTGTTTTCTTAGAAGGAAAAAGTAGTACTAGGTGAAATTGCTTTGCCATTTAATGCAAGCATCCTCAAGAAAGAGTAGCAAAGACATCTAATAGAGAATAAAGCTGTAATTACCAAGAAGAGTCTGAGCAAGGCTATTATTCTCAAGGTAGTTGTAGACCAGGATTCTATGATGGCCTTCCACACAACACCCAAAAAGTTTTACTAAATTTTCATGCTCTATTTCTGAGATCACATTAATCTCTGTCAAAAATTCCTTGACTCCCTGTCTTGATTCAGCTGCTAGAACTTTTATGGCTGCAATTTTCCCATCTTTGAGACATCCCTGAGCATCCATGAAATAATTTTTTTCAGTGGGAGAATCATGTTCTATGCCAAATACTTCATAAACCAAACAAAAATGATGTTATACTAAGATACGCAATTACCTTGTAAACAAAACCGAAGCCTCCCTCCCCAATTTTATTGGTGGGACTAAAATCATTGGTGGCAGTTTTTAACTCTTTGTATGTGTATATTTTAACATTGCTAATTCCTGAAATTTCTGTTCACAAATAAAAACCATTCAGAAAATAAAATCCTCAGTTCAGTCAGAATATGCAAAAAATTGTTCAATGCGTAGTGTAGTTAACTTTTACAAACAGAGTAAAGAAATGCAGAAAGAACAACAAAAGCCTCATTTTAGTTATAAGAAATTATCGGGAAAAAACTTCCTCAGTAAGGATAAATTCAGAACAATCTGTCAAAACTTTACTTATTCAATTTTCCCTTAAGTCCTTTATCAGTTGTAACTTGCATATTAATTGCTATTTCTGTTTACCTTCATTACAATCAAAAGAATCGTTCATTGATGAGGCTGGCCTCTTATGGAATACGAAAGAAAAGCAACCCATAACTGTATGATATTCTCCGACCAATTCTCCGAATGAAGACACTGTGAGAACCTGCCAGAATTGAATCATGGGAAATATATTTTATGTGTAATTAATTAATTAATTAACAGCAATAATAAAGGAATGCAATATAATGTTATGAAGGACAAGCCAGTCTCATCAGAACCATACTCAATTTAGATGATTAACAGAACTAGAAACTTAAATACAGTAAACTGTCCAAACTGGTTTCCCTCAGCAAGCCTTATGAAACTAACAGATCAGAGCTTTCATAGGAAAATAAGCACACAGAAGGCACCAAGCCCTGCCCAGAACTTAAAACTTGAATCGAATATTTGAAAGGTAGGAACAGTGATGCTTTCTTCCCCTATATGTGATCACCAGACCCAGGTGGGACAACAGTTTTAAACATTTACCCACCTGATCTGCCATCTCTCTCCATTGTGCTGACACATATCCCCAATTTGGATCTTAAATTCATTCCTCAAGTATGTTTGAACCATAAAGCTAACTCTATCCATGCTAAGATTTCCTATTCATTGTCTTTCAATTTTTGTGTAACATTTTTGCATTTGCTGCAGCCACTGACCTTGATTCTTACAATCCTCTCTTTAAGGCACACTAAATTCTACCCCGTGCACATGAAAAGAAAACATCTCCTGAATTCTCAACTCCACCAGCCACGTGACGGGAGAAGTAAGCTCTCTGCAAGTTACATACAGAAGGAGCACCAGTTGATTGACGTACAAAAACATCAACTGAATCAAACTGTATAGAAACTCCATTGAAGACAGCCTCTACATGCCATTTACAGGCCTAAAGAAGTCTTTCCCCAAAATTTTTGGATGAGATTCAACTAACCACTTTGGAGTCTACATTGCTAGAACCAAATTTCACAGCTAACATCCTTTTGTATTATCAGAGATAAATTGAACATCCAAAAGAGGGACCAATTTCTTAAAGAGGAGATTAGTTCCTTACTTAGACAAAATTGAACCAGTACATCAATGCAAAGAAGACGCACAATCAAATCCAGTACGGTCGAAAAGACGAAGCAACGCAACAAACACCACTGGATCAGAAACACAGCTATGGATATAAAAATCCGAAAGCAGATATCACGAATCAAGGCGAAAAAAACAGTCTAGCAAAAGCCCAACGTAAAGCAGAAAAACGCTAGAAAATCCGAAAAGGGCAAACAAAGTTCGTCAGTAAAACAAACTACAGAAACAACTAACAAGATCCATATACGTAGTCGACCATAAATGAGAGAAGAAGATGAAGAAGAAGAAGATGATGATGATGAAGAAGAAGAAGATGATGATGATGAAGAAGAAGAAGAAAAGAAAGGCAGATGCAGAAACGTACCGGAAAAGCAAAAGATTAGATGAAGGAGAGGTAAGGTAGTGAACGCAATAGGAGAAGAAGAGAGGAAATAAAAAGTTTAAGATCTTAGTAGGCCATGTCGAAGAAGGGACGCGTCTGGTGTTTTGAATATTTTCTGTGTTTCAGGTTATCTGCCGAAGACTGACTTCTACATAAGCTCCTTCCTCCTGCCGCCTCCGTTGAAGAAAAGTAAATGGTGGAGACCCTGGCTTCTCGTACGGTGGCGCGTAAAAGTCAACGAGTCAACTTTTAGGACACACTTCTTATCATAAATTTCCACGTACCAACCACTTCCATATAAAACTACGGCGGTAAAACTTATTATTATTATTATTTTATCAATAACAGGAAGAAGGGATAAAAATTTATACTAAAAGCTTAAATTTAGGGAATTAATTATTATTATTTTATATTAAAATAAAAAAAAATAAATTTTATGTCAAATTTCACATTTATAAACGTTTTATTAAAATTTTAATTATTTTATTAATAGTCACTATTTAATATCGATAATATTTTATTTGTAAAATAACTAGATTAAATTTTTAATTACATTTTTTTTTTTACCTATTTATCCCACTTCTTAGTTAATTTAGTTACTCGAATTAAGAGTAAATTACCGAGTATAAACTCATAAATTTTAGCTACTAGGCCAGAAGATTAAGACCGTAAATAAATTAAAGTGAAAACACGTGTTACACGTGTGGTTTTATAGGGAATTAAATAATTTTATTGTACGGACACGTAAACTTGTGGTTTTAGTTTTCTTGTTTGACTTAAGGTTCTCGGACCAACTTGTTTCTTTAAATACGGAGCGAGTTGACTTTTATTTAATACAAGTTTGTTTTTTTTAATGACATATTTTCAAGTTTGTAATTTTTAATTCTGCTGTCATATGTAATGTTTATATACTTCAATTATGACAATTTTATATTCGTTTCTATAATAATTTTTTAAAAAATCCATCAAAGTTTAAAATTAAAAACATAATTTTTTAATTTATATTAGATAAATTATTATAAAATGTTAATTTTAATAATTAAATTGATGATTTATTAATTTAATATTTTATTTTTTTATTTTTTTATAACCGTTAAATAATACTTAAAATAATAAATAATATTTTAATAAAATAAATAACATCTAAAAATAAATAATAAAATTATTATATTTTGTGAAAAATTAAAATATAATAATATAAACCACTATCAATTTTATTTTGATATTTCTTTTTATTTATAAAAAAAAATTTATATAAATTTTTCATCGATTAAAATTTTTAATTTTTTATGTGTAATAATTAAATAGAAATAATAAATAAATAAGAAAATTAAAAATTTTATCGACAGGTCTCTCAATCACATTATGTTGTATTATTTTTGAAAAGTATGTATTTATAATTTTTCGTTATTTTATTATTATTAAGATATGTTGAATTTAATAAAAATTATTTTAATTTTCTTATATAAAAAATTTAATATTTATTATAATTTAATATTTAATATTTTTTTTGTTATAATGAATTTTTTTCATTTATCAACCATGGGGAATATTCTCTTATATTTTAGTCTGGTAGGTTTTATAATGTGTCGCATCAAATTTTTTTGTAGTTGTGAGCTCGGGAGGAAAGAATCAATCGATGGTGATATATATATATATATATATATATATATATGCACACGCATACTCGCACACGAAGAATGGCGATTTCATAAGTTCGTTTCTGGAAGAAGAAAAAGAACAATATATATATATATATATATTCGAGTTATGTGTTGTAAGCATATATATCACAATATATACTAGACCTTATATTTAATTATATAATTATATATAACAGTGTGTATAAAATCATATTTCAATATATATTTAGATTACACTATACATTATATAAAATAAATTTAGATTACTGGAAAAATATTCCAATTAAGTTTTCTCTTTATGAAATCAAGTTTTTTTTTTGTCAAGTATAATTTTATAAATTTTTATGGTTGTTAAGGATAATTGTATTTTGAAGCAAAATGAAATCTTATAATGATAATTGCACTTAATGATATGTATGTAGTAGATAGACATTATGTTGGATTTTTCTAATATACGAGCTTAATGTAAATTTTAGTATGCGTATCAGATTGTCAATTTAATGAACTCGTTTAAAAGTGATCAAATATGGTTAAATAATATTGAACTTTAATGTATCAGATTTAAGTATGGACTTGTAATATATATATACTATTTTTGTAATATTCTCACTTTATGATGGACGAAATGAAAATTATAAAATTTAGTCGATATAAAAGGCAGTTATAGTCTCCAAATTAAAATGTTGTTATTTTATTTTTCTGAAATTTCGTCACCAGAAAAAAAAAACTAGTTTCAAGACGTCGTTTGATTCGGAAGATCCTAATGCCGAATGTGAACAAATATTCTGCGATGGATTCAGTTATGTTTTCGATTATATTTCTCTTTAATTCAGTACTAGAATGTATGTTTAATTTTTACAGATTTATGAATTTAAAAAGAAATGTTATTCTAACAATCTAATGATGCCTTACTACCGATGAAATACTTGATTAATCAAACTCTTAAATATAATATCTAAAACTTATGTTGATATAATTTTTTTCTAAAAAAAATTTAAATGTGATCTCTCAGTTATTATTCCCAAATCCCTAGAGGAATAAATTTTGTTACTTTGTCCTAATAATATGGAGTCTTCCTAATTATCATAAACAATTTTTTACAAATTAAATGTAAATACACCATTTTATAGAGATGATTAGTTGGTGTTTAGGTCATTTTTAGATATTATCTTGGTGTGAAAAAATTGAATATAAATGCACTAATTTATAGAGATAATTAGTTGGTGTTTAGGTCATTTTTAGATGTTATCTTGGTGTGTCTGTTTTTTTTTTTTTGAGTTTTTATAATTTCTAATAAGGTTGCTTATATTTTGGTTAGGAATGATCTTTTAATACTTGATAATTTCATTTGTATTTTGATTATTTCATTTGTATAAATGAGACTTTTATTTCTTTTCTCCATCTTTTGAAGTAGGATGTCCTAACTTTTTTTATTAAAAGAGAGAAAACAACACCAAGCCTAAGTATTATATATTTTAGGTCAGTACACCCAGACAAAGTCATCACTACTGAGCTGAACAAGTTTGACAAAAGTGTGACGATGGAAGTGCAACCCGGGAGACATCGAAAAAGCGTGGTTGACTAAAAAGTTAGCATAATGATTGCATTTTCTGTAGACATGCTGAATCTAGATCATTCAACACCTATCCAAGCAGATGTTAATAGCTTGAATACGTTGGAACAAACATTGATATGAATCAGCTCATGGAAGATACTCTGTTCAGACCTGAACTGCAGCAGACTGTCCATTTTAGATGATTTACGCGCACTCAA